TGTGTTGAAACTTTAAATGCACATTCATAATCCAGAATGAAAAATATTCACCAAATTTCAAGACGAAATAAATAGTTTAACCAGTATTTCAAGCTGTTTGAATATCGAGTATGGGTCAAATTGAACCCAACACAAAAGTCTTATCAAAATTTGTACAGCCTTTCCAAAACACATCTGTGCGTCGAAACTTTGCATGCACATTCATGACCCTAAATGAGAAATACTCACCAAATTTCAAGACGAAATAAATAGTTAATCAGTATTTCAAGCTGTTTGAATATCGAGTATTGGTCAAACTGAGCCCATTACAAAAGTTCTGACAAAATTTGTACAGCCTTTCCAAAACGCATCAGTGTGTTGAAACTTTAAATGCACATTCATAATCCAGAATGAAAAATATTCACCAAATTTCAAGACGAAATAAATAGTTTAACCAGTATTTCAAGCTGTTTGAATATCGAGTATGGGTCAAATTGAACCCAACACAAAAGTCTTATCAAAATTTGTACAGCCTTTCCAAAACACATCTGTGCGTCGAAACTTTGCATGCACATTCATGACCCTAAATGAGAAATACTCACCAAATTTCAAGACGAAATAAATAGTTAATCAGTATTTCAAGCTGTTTGAATATCGAGTATTGGTCAAACTGAGCCCTACACAAAAGTTCTGACAAAATTTGTACAGCCTTTCCAAAACACATCTGTGTGTCAAAACTTTGCATGCACATTCATGACCCTAAATGAGAAATACTCACCAAATTTTAAAAAGAAATAATTTAACCAGTATTTCGAACTGTTTGAATATCAAGTGTGGGTCAGATTGACCCCAACACAATGGGAGAAAGCATGACGTTATTGGCTTTGCAACATGCACTTCTGAGACGAGTCTTGTGCACGTCTTGTACTGAATGTCTGCATTGAGTATATCCAAATTAGTCAAGTTAAATTTATTTAGCTTTTTTTTTTTTTTTTCCACATTGTTTGTTTCAAAGCAGCTTGACAGAAAGTAAATCAGTCACTCCTGAGCTTCATCTCTGTTTGGATGCTGACAGTCAGACTGATCACTAGGTTTTGGAGACAAACTAATTTCTACACCATTAGTTATTATAAACTTCGTCCTGTGTAACTGTAAGGAACTATAATGCTCTTCTCAACCGGTGTGTTTCAGGAATGGACATGATAAATGGAGCGATAGACAGTCTGATGTCCGCCGCAGGGAAAGAGGACTGGACCCCCGTCCTGCTCAACGTCGCTGACGCCACAATTACTGTCATCAAAGAAAAGGTGACGCATACTTTACATTTTTGTGACAATTTCTACTTTTTCTTCATTATTTTTCTACTGTTTGAATATCAAGTGTGGGTCAGATTGACCCCAACACAATGGGAGAAAGCATGACGTTATTGGCTTTGCAACATGCACTTCTGAGACGAGTCTTGTGCACGTCTTGTACTGAATGTCTGCATTGAGTATATCCAAATTAGTCAAGTTAAATTTATTTAGCTTTTTTTTTTTTTTTACAATACACATTGTTTCAAAGCAGCTTGACAGAAAGTAAATCAGTCACTCCTGAGCTTCATCTCTGTTTGGATGCTGACAGTCAGACTGATCACTAGGTTTTGGAGACAAACTAATTTCTACACCATTAGTTATTATAAACTTCGTCCTGTGTAACTGTAAGGAACTATAATGCTCTTCTCAACCGGTGTGTTTCAGGAATGGACATGATAAATGGAGCGATAGACAGTCTGATGTCCGCCGCAGGGAAAGAGGACTGGACCCCCGTCCTGCTCAACGTCGCTGACGCCACAATTACTGTCATCAAAGAAAAGGTGACGCATACTTTACATTTTTGTGACAATTTCTACTTTTTCTTCATTATTTTTCTGCCTTGAAACAGTTTGTGCATCAGACCACATAGATGAACATTTACAAACTAATCCTTGGTTTATGTTTGACTGATCATGAAATGTCATCTAGAGACAAAAAAATAAAAGAAATGTAATTTTGAATGGATACTGATTTAGACACTTCTTACATTTACATACTTAACAAGTAAACACATTTATCAAATAAATCATGCAAGTTCCAAAACTTTTTGCATTAACTTGAGAAACTTTGCATTCATTCTCTTTAGTGGCTCCTCAAAATACAGGCATGTACAAATACAAACATTTAGTGAGCTAACACAAATTTTAGGAATGCAAAATTTTAGTGAGTGAATGAAAACATTTTAAATACTTTTTACATTTACATTCTTAAATACTAACACATTTACCATATTCATCTAAAGAGACTTAAAAAAATAAAAAATTCTATCCAATCCCCTTTTAACAATATAAATGTATTGTATGCCTTTTCTAAACAACTTAATGTGTCCTTGCTAAAGAAAAGTATTCAGTGCTTTAAAAAAAAAAAAAAAAAACATGAGACGGGAGGAAAATAATTACATGATTTTTGTGAACAAACGCAAGGTTTCTTAAGCGTTTCTCAAAAACATTTTTTGAGCTAACACAAAGTTTGAGAGTGAATGCAAAATGTTTGTAAGTGAATGCAAAAGCTGTGTAACTAGGGCTGGACAATAATTCAATATCAATATGTATCGCGTCCTTCATGGGCGTGGGACGTGATGTCCATACGTTTGCGTTCATCATGGACACGGGAAACCAGCACTTCCAGTGTCACGTGTTCTGGTGCGAACCCAACGCGGGAAGCGTGTCGGAGGCCGTGCAGTCGGCCTGTGTGGTGAGTGACACAAATACATGTCACACGGAAATCACATGCTTCTCATTTAAGGAATATTACAGGTTAAATACAAATTTAAACGAGGTAAGGTGAAACGTTTTTGAGAAGGAAGACTTCACACAAAATTGTGGCCTAACACAAATTTAACGAGCAAGCCCGAAGTTTCTCGAGTAAATGTAAAACTGATCTAGATTCTTCTTATATTTGTTTTTTTAACTTAGATATAATTTGACATGTATGCCAAATCATTCATGCAAGTGTTTTGAAAACAAAAAGCTTTATGAAAACAAAAAAATATGAGCTTCAGTTTCTTGAGGGACCGCAAAAGTTGAGAACAAACAAACATTTCTCAATGGAATGAATGCAAAAGTTTCTTGAGCTAATGCAAACATTGGTTGCAAACAAATTCCAGTTTTCTTGTGTGAACAAACATTTTGTGAGTAAAAAGTTTCTTGAGAGAAAGCATGTAGTCACCTAACGGAAGTTTTGAGTGCAACAAACATTTTGTGAGCTTACAAAAGTTTTGTGCAAACACAAAGTGTTGTGAGGGAATGCAAAAGTTTGAGCAAATGCAAACATTAGGCTAGCTTACAAATGTTTTGTGAGTGAACATAAAGTTTGAGGCAGTGCACTTGTATCGAGAGCAAATGCATAGGTTTGGAGACCGAACAATTTGTTTACAAACGTTTTGTGTGCAAACAAGGTTTCTTGAGTAAACGCAAACATTGTGTGAGTTTTTAAAAGTTCTAAAAGTTTTTGGGTAACAATTTCTTAAGCGAAAGCAAACATTTTGAATTAACAAAAAAGTTTTGTGAGCGAAAGCTACTTTTTTGAGACTGAATGCAAAGGAGACATTATGTGAGCTAACATTTTGAGTTAAAAGTTTCGTGAGGAAAGGAAAAAATGAAATCGCATCATATGACCCCTTTAAAGTTTCTCAAGGGAACATTTTGTGAGTTGACAGGTTTTGTGTGCAAACGTTTCTCAAGGTAACGTAAAAGTTTTGCAAACTAAGTTTCTTGAGGGAACGCAAAATGTTTGCTAGCAAATGCAAAGTTTGAGTAAATGCAAACATTGTGTGAGTTAACAGTTTTTGGCTAATGCAAAAGGTAAATCAACAAACATTTTAAGAGTTAGCAAAAAGTTTTGTTAGTGAATGGAAACATTTCTTGAGGGAACACAAACGTTTGAGATCAAATGCAGTTTTACAAACTAGCAGTTTCTTGAGGGAACACAATTTTTGCAATTGAATGCAAAAGCATTGAAAGAATTTCTTAACTCTCAAAATGTTTGCATTCGCTTAAGAAATTTTGCGCTAGCCAAAAACTGTTAGCCAAAAGCTTTGTGTTCCCTCAAGCTTGCAAAACTTTTGTTTACGCACAAACGTTTTGTGTACCCCATCGAAACCTTTGCTCTCAAAACTTTTGTTCCGTTTAACAATTGAACTCACAAAATATCTCCTTAAACTTTGCATTGTCACAAAACATTCACAATCACTCAAGAAACTGTTTGTTCACAACTTTTTAGTTCATATATATATATATATATATATATATATAAAAAACTTCCTTCAAATGTATAAATGACATTAAACCAGATGTTTTTGTTCAGATGTCCAGCTAAAGATGCCAAAGTTAGTCAATCTGTTTTCTTTAAACGTTTATAGAACCTTTAGACAAAATGTATTAAAAAATTTTTTTTTGTTTAAAATCATATTTGCTCCATCAGGCTTTTATGGCTTGTAGTCGGATATAGTGAGAATATGCAGGAAAAAAACAGGTTTTATTCAGAGACTCAAAATGAGCAAAAATATGAATCTGCTGCAGATGCTGATATTTATATATTGCGATTCTGATGCTTGTAATGTAAATCAATGAGATATGTATAGCATTAGAGCAGATACTAACACAAAATAATCTAAATATCAGTCGTCGCTCTATATCTCCAGTAATCTGTCTCGGTAAAATGAGATTGAAATGCTCCAACGGGGATTTTCTGATCACACACACACACACACACACCACACACACCTTTAGTTAAACACTACAGCCTGAAAGAGTCCCTGCGCAAGTACGCAAACACAGACGTGAACGCTTGGGCAAATGTGTGCCTCTAAAACATGATTGATGGAGAATCAAGTAAAGCTGAGCTGCTTCAGTCCAGTAAGTGTTCATCTGGAGATATTACTGCAGTTATTCTGACCTTTACTTGATCAAAATCAGTCAAGATTTGACACGAGAAGCTGGACGTTTGTACAATTACACTAAGAGCTTTTACTGGATAAAAGATCTTCAACATTGTAAAATGTGGTCGAAATACATTGATTTAATGCTAAACGTTATTAAAAAAAGGTTAACAAATTACATAATTAACATTGAAATTTTACTTGATGATAAAACCGCTTCACAATATCAGTGTTGATTTAACCTTGATCATTCCCATTGAATAGCTGGTTGGATCCACTTCAGAAAACCCTCTTATTTTGGTGCCCTTTTGGTGTGTAACAGCCGCTTCATAATTGCATCAATTTTTTAATGGTAAAATAAAGTCCCTTGCTTATTTTTTTCATTAAGAAATCCCACATTGTGAAAGTAACCTTAAAAAAGCAACACCATCTAAAAACCATTTCTCCACCGTGACTCCTTGAGAAACCGTAGAGGAGTACGATTTACACTAACGCCCGCCGTAACGCCCTTTTGTAGCAGTGCTGAAGATGCAAAACCTACTTGCATTGCATTATGAACAGTGGAGCACAGTGATGCATGAACAGAGCTTGCTTTGCTAAGAGATTTTGCGTACTTGCGTAGAGGAATAGCTACATGAGGAATCCCTGCTAAAGTATAAGCGTCAGATATCAAACAAACACAGGAATGTTATTTTTCACAGAATGGTGTTTTAAACCAGATCGACCACTAAAGACACTCATTTTTACACCATATTAATGTATCATGTTGTGGAAATAAATTACATCAAAACAAACGTGTCTCTCCATGTTTTATTTGCATTTAAACTCGCGTGGCATTGCAAAATATGCATGTTTTGATGGCAGTGTTAGTTTAGTAACAATGAGTTAGTTATCTGGCATTAAAAAGTCGTACATTTTAAAAAAGCAAGTGAAATGCTGACTAATGCGTGTCAGAGCCACGGCCGCAGATGATTCAGTCTGTACGGCGTTTGGCTTCGAGGCAGAGCTGGTGTCGAGTTACGCCACTGCAGGTTTGTGTGGGCGGGGCTTGGCCGGGCAGGAAGGGCGTGGCTCCACCTCTGAGGAAGAAGACCGTCGCTTGACAACAGAACAGGAGGAAACGTGACGGTCGCCGGCCGAAGCACTTCCTGTCGGCCTTTGGGCGGAGCGGGAGGCGGGGAGGAGTGATGATCATTGGTGGAAACCGCAGCCGCGGCCAAACGAGTCAAACTAGAGAAAGGGGCGTGGCTGGGGGCGGAGCCTGTCCTGGAGAAACCGCTCTGAGAGGGACGTTGAGAACTAGATGGTTTATCTGTGGAGATACAGAAGTAAACAGGACATTTGGTGAGTTTTCCTGAGTAGTTTACTCTGGAAATAATGTTAGGATTACACCGTGTCCTAACTACACGCGACACCGCCATACGCGATAAAAGATATCTTTTCCATGTTAAATCTGAGGTTTTGTCCAAACCAGCCGCAAAGGCGACACGCGAAATTTCTATTTTAGATACGACAGTAGATAATTCTCAGGTGTTCATGTGCTTTATTCAAAGCGTGTCTAATGTGAGTTTGAATATCATTTTGCGTGACCTTATAGCCATACTGAAAGCAACAACAGATAGTTTACCTCAGATCTTGAAAATAAAGTAAAGCAAAGATATACATTTAAAAGTATGAACTCGCTGCGAACCAACGAGTGCTTTCCATAAAGATGGTATCAGTCACCATGTACATTTAATGATGTTAAAAAGGTTTGATATTTATGAATTAGATTATAAACTTATCCATTTCTTTGGGAGTGCAGAGCGCTTTAAGAGAGGCTCCGCCCACACACTCTTCTGATTGGTTGTGATATTTGATTGATTCTGTCGCGTCGCGTCTGGTGTGGACACCTAAATTGCTTGCTGCTGGAATCTAGTGGCGTCGTGTGTAGTTAGGACACTGTGTTAACAATTAAATCAAGCTAAATCTAATGTTATTGTGTGTATTTGTTAAACTGAAGTAACCGTAGTGTGCCGGACTCCGAGGCGACTGACTCAGTGTCGGCTCTGAGCTGCTTCCTTTCATCTCACGGTTCAGAAATTCCACCACGCGTGATTGGTCGCTCTGTGTGGCGTGTGGGCGTGTCTTCACAGAGCGTTTCTGATTGGCGGGTGCTCTGTGGGACCGTCGGCCTCGGCCTTCTTTCTTGATTGGCTGGAGGCCGTCTAACAGGCCTTTAGCCGCTGCGCGAGCGAGCACTTCTTGTGGCATTTCTATCACTTCTGGTTGAGGCTGTGCAGGAGACAAAGAAAAGAAAGAAAGGCTGAAGTGCATTTGAAACACAATTGTATCTGTTCCGAGGAGGCACTTTAGATAAACACATCTGACAAATGCATAAAATATATTTAAAAAAGCAGTTGAACGGAGGGGAACTTCTGTATTGTATTTTTAAAAATATTTTAGAGCTGTATTTTACAACTATATTTATATCACACACACACACACACACACACACAGTGTGAAATAAGGCTGGTCATCAAAGAAAGGGTGTTAAACAGAGAAGAACCAGAATAATGCAACATCCGAACCATAAACAACACGCACATAAACACATTCTCGTCTTTCTACCTCATGAACAATTTCAGCAGGACACAAATCATATGATGAAAACCGCAGCATTCGTTAATTAATTTGTCTTAATTTGTATTAAAAAGGCCAAAAGTTATTAATAATAATAATAATAATAGAGTCAAAAGTAATAGTTAAATAAAATGCTGAAAAAAAAAGTTTGAAAATCTTAAATTTTAAACATTTTAAAATGTATCTAAAAAGATTTAAAAATAATAATATAAAGAAATAAAAAAGAAAATGGTGAATCAGTCTAATTCTGTGGGGAAATGCTTTCTGAACTACTTCTGTACTGTATTTTTTGTTTTGTTTTAATTTTCTGCTACATTAAGAGTTACAAACATATAAAAAGGTCAAATTTATAATAATAATAATAACAATCTCAAAGAGGTTAAATAATAGTCAAGTATTTTGAAAATATGTACATTTTAAATGTTATTTTGCTGAAATTTGAGCTAATTTTTTTGTATATTTTAAAACACATTAAAAAGAAAAAAATAAGCTAAACTTTTCAAATTTTTCAGGAAAAACCCCCAACAATTCTCATAAGTTAGGTCTCTGTGAAGCATGTTGGATCAGTGTGTGTTTCTTCCCGGGTCACTGCTGTCTCAGCACCACACACACACACACACACACACTCTTACAGTGAATAATTCAGCTGGTGTGTGTGTGTGTTTGAGGATGTGAGGTTTTGCCCTGTTGATGCTAACACATGCAGACATGAGGGCTGAATTATTCAACATGTCCTGCCCTCTTCCTCCTCCTCCTCACACATTTATTGCCCGTCCTGTGTTTCTGATGCGGCTCTGGCCCCAGATTACGCTCATCATGACTGTCCTTCAGCTGAACGTGAGGTCACACACTGAAACAGAGCCGATCATCCGTCTGAACGCAGCTGCAGACTTTATTAGTCCCAGGTGCGACCGTACAGATGCATCGTAAAGCCGCGTGTTACGGGAGGAGGGTTATATTCCCACACACGTCTAATAGCCTTTAAGAGACCTTTTTAAGCGAAGCAAAATGATCTTTATTAGTGGCTTTTATTAGTCGTGGCAGGAAGGATATGGAGCTTGATGATGTTTTCCTGACTGTCAGCGCAGAACTAAATATGACGGATCGCTGTAATCTAACTCGGCGTATACATCGCGTCGTTTGCTGGAGTTTAACTCTGATCCAGCAGGAAGCTCTTCTCTTTCTCCGTCTCTCTGCGGTGTTATTTTTAGCTGCAGATGAAAGCAGAGGGAGGATTCCTCAACAGACACAGCAGGATTAGTCCATGAGAAACAAAGAGCGTCTCTATCGAACCCCAGAGAAACTCTTCCCAGCATGCTTTCAGCATCAGCTAGAAAAAACAACCAGCCTGAAAGAACCGTATCTGTTCCAGCTCACACACACTCGCTCTCTCCGTTTATATTATTATTTTTAATGATTATACGCGCACACACATAGAAAAATATACAGAAATCTGGCTCAAAAATATTTCAGGAAGATAAAACAAAATACACATTTTAAATATTTTCGTTATTTTACTACTATTTTTGGCTTAGTATAGTTAAGATCAAAATATAAATAGTTCAACATATATATGTTATATAGATTTACAAAGAAAGGGCTCGAAATATTTACAGACACAGCAGGATTAGTCCATGAGAAACAAAGAGCGTCTCTATCGAACCCCAGAGAAACTCTTCCCAGCATGCTTTCAGCATCAGCTAGAAAAAACAACCAGCCTGAAAGAACCGTATCTGTTCCAGCTCACACACACTCGCTCTCTCCGTTTATATTATTATTTTTAATGATTATACGCGCACACACATAGAAAAATATACAGAAATCTGGCTCAAAAATATTTCAGGAAGATAAAACAAAATACACATTTTAAATATTTTCGTTATTTTACTACTATTTTTGGCTTAGTATAGTTAAGATCAAAATATAAATAGTTCAACATATATATGTTATATAGATTTACAAAGAAAGGGCTCGAAATATTTCAGAAAGATAAACCAAAATAAAATAGATTTTAAATATTTGATATATTTTATTACTTTTTTTTTTTGATTAGTGTAGTAAAAAAAAAATAAATAAATAAAATAAAAATTGTATATAAAATCAAAATATAAAAAAAAATAAAATAATTGCCTACAAATATTTCAGGGAAAAAAACCCCCAACAAAAATATACTTTAGTACTATTTTTGGCTTAGTGTAGTTTTGAAATCAAAAATATATAAATTGTTCAAAATATATATATATATTAGTTAGATAAATAAATATAGAAAATTGGTTAAAAGATACTTACGGAAAATAAACTTTCCAATATTTACATATATATCTTAATATCTAATGTATCTAATATATTATATAAAATATCTAATATATTAAATATTAAATATATTTTAGGTACTTCACTAATGTTTTTGTGCATTTTTAATATCTAAATATAAAAATATTGTTCAAAATATATATATATATATATATATAAAAAACATCCCCCCCACAGTTTGACTGGTTCACCATTTCATACATTTTATGCATTTGTCAAATGTTTTTATATAGAGTGAGTGTTCAGAATATGTGTGTGTTCAATAAACGCATCAATAGTGATTGTCTAGGAACCACAAACAGCTCGATCAGAAATATAATAGAAAGTTTCCTCTCATTACAGAGATATTTGCTATAACGCACAGTGTATGATCAGATCTTTTCAATGGGCCTGAGCTTTTATTTTCTTATTTACTCATTATTTAATTACATTCTTCTATAAAACTATTAAAAAAATAAATAAAATGCAGAAATGCCAGATTTGTGTGATAACTGGGCACCACACGATGAATTAAATATATAAATATTTTAGTTATTTTACTACTGTTTTAGCTTGGTATAGTTAAGAACAAAATATAAATAATTCAAAATATACAAGTTATGTAGATTTACAAAAAAGGGGCTCGAACTATTTCAGAAACAAACAAAAAAAATATTTAAAATATTTTAGATATTTGATTGCTATTTTTTTATTAGTGTAGTTTTAAACAAAATATATTAGTGTTGTTCAAAATATATAAAAATACAAGGATTTGGCTACAAATATTTCAGGAAAAAATATTTTAGTACTATTTTTGGCTTAGTGTAGTTTTAAAATCAAAATATATAAATAGTTCAAAATATAAAAGTTATATAAATATACAAAATTGGTTAAAAGATACTCAAGAAAAATTAACTTTCCAATATTTACATAAATATTTTAAATATATTTTAGGTACTTTACTACTGTTTTTAGGATTGTGCATTTTTAATATCTAAATATAAAAATATTGTTCAAAATATATATTTTTAAGAAATGTTTCTCCCCCACAGTTTGACTGGTTCACAATTTCATACATGTTATGCATTTGTCACATGTTGATCTGATAGTGTCTAAAGGCATCAATAGTGATGGTCTAGGAACCACAAAAAGCTCGATCAGAAATAATCAGTTTCCTCTCATTACAGAGATACTTGCTATAATGCAGAGAGTATGACCAGATCCTTTTATTTTCTTCTTTACTCATCATTTAATTACATTCTTCTATAAAACTGTATTTTTAAAAATGCAGAAATGCCAGATTTGTGTGATAACTGCACACCACACAATGAATTATTACATGCAACATAATGAGATCATGTGACAGCAGTGTAACATACAACTGTCTGAAACATTTAAATCGCTGCATATTGCATAATTTTTAAAAATTATGTAGTATATAGTATACACACTACATAGTATGCAAGTATTCCATTCTGACATATTTTCCTTTCCATTTAACCACATTTCAAGTGCTTTCAAACACACAAATGAGGGTAAAACATGTAATTTGTTTTTAAATGCTGAACTAATGATTTTGTAATGATTCAAATCACACTCAGGGGCCGGACTGAGTTTATACTCATATGTGACCCTGCAGCACAAAAGCAGTGTTAAGTCGCTGGGGTATATTTGTAGCAATAGCCAACAATACATTGTATGGGTCAAAATGATTGATTTTTCTTTTATGCCAACAATTATTAGGATATTAGGTAAAGATCATGTTCCATAGGATATTTTGTAAATTTCCTACTGTAAATATATCAAAACTTAATTTTTGATTAGTAATATGCATTGCTAAGAACTTCATTTGGACAACTTTAAAGATGATTTTCTCAATATTTAGATTTTTTTGCACCCTCAGATTCCAGATTTTCAAATAGTTGTATCTCAGCCAAATATTGTCCTATCCTAACAAACCATACATCAATGGAAAGATTATTTATTCAGCTTTCAGATCATCTATAAATCTCAATTTCCAAAAATTGACCCTTATGACTGGTTTTGTGGTCCAGGGTCACATATATGTCCTCAACTCTCACTTTGTGTATATACTTGTGTAAATAATACTTGAGTATTTGGTTTTGGGCCGTCATGAGGGTCAGTAAGCGTTGTTTTTGGGAATGATAATGCTGATGTTCAGTACCTCTCGTGTGAGCAGCGCTAAAAAACAGCCATTACTATGATCTGATGCTTCCAGTCTGAAGAATCTGGCCTTCATCTCCTCTGTTTCCTCATCATCTTCAATGATAGAGTCCTGCAGGAGACTTGGAGAACTCAACCTGACACACACACACACGGTTATGTTATGGCTGGCACTGTGGTCAGTCAAGCAGGTTATAATAAAACAAAAGAAAAACAAAATAAACATTACTTCATTTTTGATTTCCTTCCTGTGAAATTCCAAACCACATTGATTTTGAACCACGAGCGTTTGTCCACTCATTCGTCCTTCTCTTAAGATCATTATGTTACACTTTATCCAATTGTATAATATAAATAAGTTAAATATGCTATTATAGACACAATATTGAGTGTTTTTGCTCTATTCTGCCAGTGAAAACAGTTCCAAACAGAGTCACAGCACAACTTTTGCGTCTCTGATAAACACAGTTCTGAACGATTCAGCGTTAAACGAATCAGGTGAGTCAATCATCCATTTGAGAAAGAAAACTGCATACTTCCCTACTATACAGACAGCAAAAAAGGGATGTGAACCAAGTAGTATGTCTAAATGTCTGAAGTGTGCATCTGATGGACACTTTATGGATTCGTGAAAGGCAGCGCAGCGATGCAACTGATTCTGGAAGATCACAACAATGACAACATGATGAATGAAGTATACCCAGATTACATTCATACGTCATAGAACACACTTGAATAGTCAGGCAGTAATTTTTTTTTTTTCCAAAAGAAGCACTGATTCAGAGAGTATGCGATTTCAGACGCAGCCAATCATCTGCTTCGCTCCTCAATGAATCAGCCGTTTGAAGGAAATGGTTGAGTGAATGACTCAATGACTCACTTAAGACAGTGACTTGTTTCATATTTAGAGTATAAATGATTTTTTCCCAACATTCCATTATTTCTATATTCAATATGTTTTATATTTAAACAGTGTTATGGAATCTCTGAGATGGATTAAACCATGCATGTAAACCTAAATGCCATTTCTGTACCATTTCTGCAGGGAAAAACTAGATTTTGCTGATATTGATTTTAGCCCTATAGAGTCTTATTATTCTAATTGCATTTACTGAATAAAATTTACATGAAAGGAGAAGAGGTTCAAAAAGTTGTCCTTATTAAGAGGGGGCAAATATTGCCCCTTAAAATGGAAAAAAGTTAATGTCCTTCACTGCTTACAGGTTTGGTATTTATTTTTTTATCCTGGCGTCACTGAATTCTGCAGAGTGTCATTTTGTCCTAAAAAAACGGTAGATTTTTCACACATGCAGCTCGCTTTACTGTATGTCTGTGCTGCGGTCTGCTTCTAATGCACTGAAAATACTGAGCACATCAGCTTCATTTTAACATCATTCAGTTTTTTTAGACAGAGGTTCACTTCATTTGCAAGTTGTTTTGGATAAAACGGTTTGCTGAATAATTAAATGTGCGTAATTAAAGCAGATTTCTAATGAGAAGTTTATGAAAACTGTTGCCAACTACACAAGAAAATGCGAGGCTCTTTCTTTAGTTTTTGCCAAAATAAAGGCCGGAAGATTTAAGCAATGCAATGTGAAAATGAAGAAATTAAAAGCGATATTACATCTGTAATATTACAAAACAAAATAACTGCATTTTAATGTAAAATAAAAAGGAAATGTCCACTTTTAACTGCTGATACAGTGTGGGAGAACTGGGTTCACTTTTTGAGTCAGTGAAAACCTATTAACAAATACACTCAAGTGTAAAAATCCTTCAAGAGGAAGTAGTTTATGAGCAAAACTGGAGTTAAAACAGATCACGGCTAGTTTGTAGATCTTGCTGGACATGAGATGCTGTTTCAATGCGAGCATGCATGCATCATGCATTTCAATTGCCTTTGCCTTCATCTCTCATAAGCAATAAGAAGTGATTTCCAGTGTTTCAGCAAGATTCACATTAGGGGTTTTTCTGGACCTCTGGATCTAACTAACTCACACAAAATAGACAGACAAAAGGGGGTGAAATAACATTACTGCAGATTAAATAAACACTGATTATGAGAGAGCTGATATTGTGTTTGAAGAAATTCCTTCAACACTCTCTACTCCTCATTGAACACTGAGCTTTATACTCAACAACAGCTGCTCACCGTCAGCTGATTGGAGCACAGGGAGAGAGGGGCGGGGCTAATTATCACTGCACACAGCTGATTGGTTAATCATGACTAGCTCAATCTTTCCATCCACTCAAACACACACACAATTTGGGTCATTATCGAAATTTGTTAAAACACGTCCCTTGACTTTTAAATATTCAAGAAACGCCATATTAAGGCATCAGTATTTAGTCTCACCAGTATTTAAATCATTACAAATGGTTTGATGCTATATTGGTTTTGCAGAAAAAATATTTTAATTTGTCAGATTCCCTTACACCACTTCTATTATGTTTTTGTTTTATTATTATTTATTAAATTACTTCTGTTTCAGAATAAAGCAGTATTTGATCATCAAATCACAAGTCTGCTTTAGGAAGAAGCTGTACATGACAAATAAAAAGCATGACACTTACAGATTATATATTCATAAACTGTTTATATAAATTTATTTAATTTATATTTATGTATAAAATATACACAATATAATAAAATACTAAATAACTTATATATAAATCTATTTAATGTATATTTATATATAAAATATACATAATATACATTTTATATAAATAAATTTGAAAAATATTAATAGAAAT